ATGTCAAAATGGCCACTGTGAAAACGATCTATTGTGGTCTTTCCAGTAACTCTATACATTTCATGTGATCTGAAAATATGTGTTTGAAGAAGTCTTTTGCGGACAATGTCCCCTGGGACTTGGTGCTCAGTGTGAACCACAGTTACCCAGAATACCCTTCTCTGTTTTCTGCCTAAACCATGGCCATACTTGCTGCTATTGGACTATCCCACATGCTTGCTAACAGCCAAACTTCACATTAATGCACTCAAGATTTTTATGTAGCTTTTATATTAGGATTGGTCACAAACTGCTGCTCCAATGTTTGTATGTAGGTAGGTACATTTGAAGGTGATGTTGTAAGAGCGATGATATGTGGTTTGCTTGGCCTGTTGTTTGCAGACACACCCTAACTTGCTTCCTCTCTTCCCTTTGTGTGTGTGTGTGTGCAAGGGTGAGTGGTTCAGAGAAGGGCAGGCTGTATGCAGTGGACGAATACCAGTATTGTTTCTAATGTAAAAATAATTTTAAATGTAGGGTCTTTGTGTGTGAAGAAGATTAAGATAGAAAACATACACGCATGCATGTCACTTTCTCTCATCACCTAGGTGTGAATAGGGCACTGCTGCAGTGACATTGCTACAAATAAACTGGCAAAATTGAGGGCATAATGCTATAGCTGTGTTGTTTTCAGTAGATATAATAGTGCATGCTGCATGTACAATCCTGTGGTAGACATTAAAATTAGATACCACTAATGTAGTGGATTATTTTAAAACAGGGTGGAGCTCATGATTGTGGTTTCTCAAGTGTGATCTTCTGTATGTGTGTGTATGTGCGTGCAGTTTACTGAAAGAGGAAAAAACTGATTGCCAGGCATGCAGTTTTGCTCTGCGTGGAGTGTGAAATGAACTGCTCAACCCTGATCAGCCGAGTTATCTGGGTAATAGGACTAAATGCGTATGTGTATGACAACGGTTTGACTGGTCCTGTGGTTTAACACCTATACAAGCAACATGATGTACTCTTAACGTTCCCACGATCCCCCGCCAGGCCCAGCTCCCTGTTAATAACATCATCACTATAATTGCTTTTTTGTTATATTTTTGCCCATGTATATATCCACCTGTGCTTCAGTATTACACATAAACATCACCATGTCTGCAAGCCTTTCGATTATTCAAGGCCTCTCTGAATCTTAAATGCAGTGTGAGATATCTTAAAATGTGTCAGATTAATTTGAAGTCGTGCAAAGAGGCTAGTTAGTGGATCCTCAATTGAGATTATTAGTCACATATTCTTATTTTAAGCTCAAGAATAAACTTCAGTGCTAAAGACTTAAAATAGCTTCTTTATTTTTTGCAAGTCTTCCCCTCATGGCACAGAAAAGATTTGATAAAAAAGAATCCCCAACTATTTCTGATCATCGATTAATTGTTTAAGTAAATTTTCAAGCAGTTTCTTTTTCTAGTTTCTTCACAGCTCTCTGATACAAACCGTATATCGGGTATATAGGGTTTTTTACTTTTGGTTGAACAAAATCACTTTGGGGCAAATTACTTTTTTTTATATTTTAGAGATTTTCATAGTTTTACATGCACAAGTGACTTTTATAACTTACAGGGGAGGTTAAAAACAAATGAATATGTAAAATAATAAATCTTAGACCTTACAAGCTTGTAAATGAGCTGAGTTGTCTGAGCACTAATCTGAAGTTCAAGGATGATTTTTTTCACTCAAGTCTAGTTTTCCAGTATTTTTTTTTAAGTTGCTTTGGTGCTGTAATAAAATGTAGCACTGGTAAATCTATGTGGACTACAGTGAATGTGTACAGTCTTTGAACGTGAACTATTTGCCTAGTTGGTACATTGGTGAACCAACCGTTAGTAATGTGGTACAGAAACCCAACCAAGTGTTTCACCAGGAAACCGTTGCGAATGGTTCCGTGGGTTATGGGGTATCACTTTTGGTTTTTGGTCGTTTGGCTGCTGTCGTTTGCTGTGTGTTTTTTCCTACACCAGCTGTTTTTATACATTTCCTTTCTCAGGAGGGCGTAGCACTGCATGTGATCATGTAGTGAAAGACTTGTGCTGGGACTCGATATGAATTGTTTTGGTGCGTCGCGAGTGGGGTGAAACTGTTGCGGCTTTCAAAAGCTGGTAGCGATCTTTGAGGTGACACCGGAGGTGAAGAAGGGCGTGGGTGCTATGTGAACCAGAGAATTTTAGTGTTTGTGTGTTTTAATCCAGAAAAGATCAAATCAGATCCTGTGTTATAAACATAGTTCACCAAGTTGAGAATTATTCATGCAAGCTGCTGTGATGAGTCACGGTATCTCTCAGCTATCAGTCACACACTTCTTTTTCGCACATCCTCCTCTGGAGATACGTGATATCTCAAGCCTGTGATCTGTCTGTTTTTGTATTTCTTTTTTCTTTGCTTCTAACCATGTGTTTCTCACCACAAAGCAGATTATTTCCGTGCTATCCCAAAAGTACCTTATTCCTTTACTGATTTGTTTTTTTTTTTAAGCCCTTGCATGCAGGATTTTTGGCTTAGTTTTACTTTACAGTAAAATGTCAGTCAGTGCTGTGAACAGCCTGTTTTTAATAGAAAAATATAGAAACTTGTTCAGTAATGAAAACTCTTTTAGTGTTGTCAAAATTGGCCAAAAATGACATCATATAGGTTCAACCTATTCCAATTATCTAGTTTTGCACAATTCAGTATAACAAGAGAGTCAACATAACTTTGCTGTCTGCTGACCAAAAGACGTGACCCTCACTGACGTGCTGCAGTCAGCAGATCATTTCCGGTGGAGTGCTTCTGTGTTGCTGGTAGTGTATTTTTGCTGCTCTAGCTCAGTGGTTCCCAACCTGGGGTTGGGACCACAAAGCTTAACGGGGGGTCACGAAGCCTTCTTGATTTTAAGGAGTGTAAGGAAACTCAGATTGAATTCACTTCTGTGAAGAAAAGTGAATGTAAAGTGAATTATCTAATAGATATAGATCGTCAGGGACAAGAAAACATAATTGTTAAAAATGATAAGAAAAACATAATACAGACAGAATTGCATAAAAAGTGCCCTGAAAAAGAAATAATCTGCTGAAAATTCATCCAAATCACTCATTTTACACAAACTTCTTGCAGTTACTGAGTTCACTGTTTAGGTTCATGGTACAATGTTGAATCTAATTTGCAGTATTCATATTTGTCACTTTAGCATTTAGTAACAAAGTAAAAAACTTGGGAACCACTGCTCTCACTCAACTTAGTTAAATTTTTTATATTCTTCAGTATATCAGATAATTACCCGCTATAAATTTAAACTGACACTAATTCTGCTTGTTCACTTAGCTCTCTCCTTTTAGTAACCCAGCTGCTGTAGTCAACCAGATCCAGGTCTGTTTGATTGATTTAGAGAGCAAATTACTTTCTCTGTGGCTGAGTTGGGTTGTGAACTTTCTGCCATCATTACCACTCGGTTGTAGTTGAATTATTCACTCGTTTCAGCTCACATACATTTCATTTTCAGTCAGTGAAAGTGATGTTGTGTGACCCCTGTCCGTCATGTCCGTCATGTACTGCATGATGGACGTTGTGTCCTTGAGCTGTCCTGTCATTTAAAAGCAAAAAATATTCATTGACAGCCCTACTTTCTTCTCTGTGGTGACGTTTACCCCTGTTTTATATGTTTACAGGTAAGAGTACACCAGTGAGCATGTCTGGCACAGCTGACCCCTCCAAACCGTGTGACCCCTTCCAGCCATTCAGCAGCGAAGCCATTGACCCGTTTCAGGTTAAAAAGGGCCCAGGAGACCCGTTCAGTGGCAAAGACCCTTTTGCGCCATCCTCAGCATCAAGTAAAGCCCCTAAAGACTCTCCCTCGGGTTTTGCAGACATCAGTTCTGTAAGTTGAGATGGGTGATACTGTTTAACTGTCAGTGTCTAGTCCAGGCCACACAGCTCTGCACAGACACCAGCACAGTTGCTACATAAAGTGATTTTAGCACACCATAAGGTCACTCCTAAAGCTGGATGAGGCATAGAACATACAGTAGCAGAGCTCTATGAAGGGAGTAGCGGTGCATTATACTGAAATGTTATGAATGCATCTGAGTCTTCCAAAAACAAGGCTTGTGTTTCCGGGCTTAAATCTGATTACTGATCTTACAACAGTGACCTCATCTCCACCTGATCGCATGTTAATACCAGGTAGACATGAAGTCAGTGCGATTGGCTGATCATTAAAGTGGTGCTTTAACAGCAGCACATGATGTAAAAGCTGAAAAATAGTTTGTTATATCCTGATTGCTTTGCTTCTTTATATAAGACAAAATTCTTTTTTTGTGTTTTTTAACAATGGGACACTGGACTTAATTTAATTACTTTTGCTGTGTATATCAATATCAGAAAAACATTATTTTAATACTGTGATATTGATTTTATGATCCAGCCCTGTGTTCAGTGCAGTAAACTATTACAATTCTGTATTCATAACACCAGAAATAAATGTCCTCAGTCAGTGTACAGTTGAAAATAGTATAACAGAAAACAGTAAACTTACAAAAGGCAGTGCACTGACCTATGCTATGTGTGTAAGCATTAGCAAAGCAGGACAGCACACGGCTAAGGCAGCGTGTTCACTCTCTGCTTTAGGTTCTCTTTTGCAGCCCATTCTGACCATTATCTGTTCTCCATGTTAACAAGCTTCTCTGCTTATATACATTCTGCTGTGTCACATTCCAGTATACCCAACCGCAGGGAATTCTTGTAATGACTGCACATAAACTGACACAATCGCATAGTATTAAAGGAATGGGTCAACACTTTAGGAAATACGCTAGATCACTTTGTGAGATGTTCAGATTGATTTAGATCTCATGTCTGTGCATTACATGTCCAGTGTTTAACCTCTAGGAGGATCTATTGTCCAAAATG